AAGTGAGATATATTTGAAACACAACCCGAAATGAGTTCATGTGGTGAAACAATTTCAAGAGAAGAAGAGCGGAGGCGTATTAATGCTCCAACATGTAAAACTGCATGACTCCACATAGATGTAGGTAAATTTGTGTGAAGGAGGAGTGGCCGAATAATGAGTTGTATATGCTTTATAAATGACTCTGCAAGTCCATTTTGAACATGTTCATATGGAACACAATATGTCAACTCAATTCTTATTGCAATACAATAGTCTTTAAAAAACTTTAATGCATATTCTTTTGTATTATCCATATGCAATATTTTTATAGGATAATAAAAAAAATGTGCCTCAAAACAAATAAGCATAGATATAAGATTGGTTAACACCATGTTTCGAGTTGATAATAATAAAACATAAGATTTTTTATTTGATGCATCAACAAGGACCAAAAAATAATGAAATGGTCCCGATATTGGATTAATAGGACCACAAATATCACCATGCAACCTTTCAAGCATTGATAGTAATTCTTGTAGGAGTTTCAAAATTGAAGGTTGAGTAATCATCTTGCCTTGCATGCATCTTATCTTATATGCAAGTTTACCAAGTTGAAGATTTTTCAATAAACAATCGTCTATCCCACAAGATAGTATGTGTTATTGCAGAATCAATGAGTGCATCATTTGATTCATCATTAGAGGTTTTATCATTCATATAAGCCTCTAAATCATCAACACCAATTGAATCTATGGATGCATCCATGGTATGAACTTTACGAGCCTTAGCTCATACTTTTTTATTTTCTTGGAACATTTTAATAAAATATTTTGAAGTACAACACACATGTACTAAATGCCCAATTATTCCACATTTATAGCAAGAATGCATCTTTGATTTTTATTTTCTTCTATAATTAAAAATAGAATATTTATTCTTTTTATATGGATAGAAATGGTTATGACTATAATTGCCTTAATGCTTATGAGCACCTTTTCCATGTTTATATAATTTTTTCTTAGACTTTGAAATATTAACTGCATGAGATTTTAGAACTGTGGTTCGAATAGGACGAGCTTCTGCATTACATAAGAGTAGATGATTTTGCTTCTCCATAAGAAGTAGATAGGACATGAGATCAAAATGACTCTCCAATTTCATATTCCTATATTGTTGTGCAAACCCAACAAATACATGAGGAAATGTAGAGAGAGTTTTCTCAATCATTTCTTCTTCAAAGATGCTTTGTCCACATAATCGTAATTGTGAGACAATACTATATATTTCACTATTGAAAGCATTTAAATTTGGAAAATCTAAGATATGTAAATGTAATCAATAATGACGTGCATGTGGAAGGAAAATAGTCTTTTGATGATCAAACTTGGATTTAAGATTCTTCCAAAGTTTTATAAGATCTTCTATTTCTAAATATTGATATTGTAATGCAGGTACAAAATAACAAAGAAGGAGAAGAAGTGCTTTCTAACTGATAGTAGGAGGAATAGAAGTACTTATTATAGGAGATTCTTCAAACATAATGATATTCGAGAATTATTTTGTAAATAAATTTATTTTTTCTAGTTTTGTCTATGATAGATAATTATTTCCATCTACAATCAATAGTAGAAATAGAAGAGATTGAAAATGTTGGGATGCAATAGTAATAGTTGGAACCATAGTAGAAGTAGTTGAAGATGTTGAAGCACTTATTATATAAAAATTTGTAAAGAAAATACAAGATCAAGTAAAAAAAATGAGTAAAATATATTTTAAAATATAAAATCAAATAAAATAATAAAATTGAACTTAAAATCAAAAATATTAATTAATTTATTATTATTATTATTATTATTATTTTTGAACAAGGTTGTGGATTGTGGCAACGGAGTAGTAGCAGTAGGGCGGTGTCGTAATACATGAAGTCTTATTTGAGAATGCTCCGGACACCTCGCTATGGAAGGTAGAATGGAAATTGCAACAACAAAATCTTAGTTCTAATAGAATACTAACAATGCTAAACAAGTTTTAATTGAATTTCGAGAAACTTCAAAAGAATTCCAAAGAAATAATAAGAAATCTTAAAGAAATATTAGAATAATTACAAACATATCTCAAATACATCTCAATTCAATCTTAATTTAATCCTAGTTGAAATCTTATTGGACTTCATTCAAACTTTAGGCCAAAAATTAATGAAATCTTAAATCCTAAATAAACTCAAATAAAATCCTAAATTCTAAATCAAATCTTCATCAAACCCTAACCAAATCTTAAATCCTAAACTAAATCTCAAATCATAACCAAACTCTAAACCTTAAACCAAACCCTAAATCTTAAACCAAATCCTAAATCTTAAACCAAATCCTAAACATTAAATCAAATCCTACACCTTAAACTAAATCCTAAACCTTAAACCAAATCCTAAATCCTAAACCAAATCCTAATCAAATCTTAATCCTAAATCAAATCCTAACCAAATCCTAATCCTAAATCAAATTCTAACTAAACTCTAATCCTAAATCAAATCCTAACCAATCCTAACCAAACCCTAAATCCTAAACCAAATCTTAAATAAATCCTAATCCTAAATCAAATCCTAACCAAATCCTAATCCTAATTCTAAACCCTAAATCAAACCCTAATCAAATCTTAATCCTAAATCAAATCCTAATCAAATCTTAACCTCAAATCAAATCCTAACTAAATCCTAATAATTTCTACAATAAATTTAAACCTCAATAACTAATGAATGAACAATTGATTTTAAGTCAAATTTTACATACTTCTTAAAAACTAAGCTGAAAACAAACACAATTTTTTTAAAAAGGATCGAAATTACCAAATAGACAATAATCCCAAAAACATCCTCGAGTATTGGCTGGCCTCTTTCTCCAATCTTGATGCCAATCTCTTAGAGCCAATATCTCTCCTGTAGATCTATTACAAAACTCTTGAAACCATCCAAAATATAAATCCTATTTTATTTTACTAAACCCAAGTTATCTGAAACAAACCTTGACTTTGTAAAGCTCTTACAAAGTCAATATAGATCCAAATCGCTCAAAACCAATGCTCATTAAAATCCTATTAAGTCTATTCTCTAATCCCACTCTTTGATTTGCAAAAGAATCCCGAAGTCATCATCGAGACTCAATTTTGTGCCTCAGGGTCTCATTTTGATCCTGGTTCATAACCGGCCCTCTCTGAGTATCAATATCTAGTTTTTCTAAGTAAATTTTGCTAGAATTTATTCTTAACTTCTTACTTAAAATGCCTATATTATTTTTTTTCCAATCTACTTTGTTTTGCCTTATTTATGGTCCTACTAGTAAGTAGAAGTCACTTTTGTAAAAAAGTAGTACTACTACTAAAAGTTTTATTACCTTCTTATCTTTTATCCATATTTTTTTATTTTATCTTTTAATTTGGCTCTTCTATAATAAGATCCATATTATCATCTTTCACAATATAGTTGTGTTACAATACGATAGCGGTAGTGGCAATCAACAGCGGTAGCAGTAGGTAGCGTTAACATCAGCGACAGAGTTGGCAGCAGGCAATGTCAGCTATCAATGGCAAGCAGCGATGATGTCAATGGCAGGGTCAGCGGCAGGCAATAGTGGCAGTGGCGGCTATTTGGTGGTAGTTGGCAGCTATTTTGGCAGTTGTTTGGTAGTTATTTGATAACTGTTTGGGAACTATTTGGCAACTGTTTGGCGGCTGTTAGACGATTGTTTGGCGGCAACTAGGGGACGCAACATGAGGGAGGTAGGGCTGGAGCGAGTACTTCGAGAAAGCAAACAAGGCAAGGCAATCTAGCAAGCAACTAAGGTGTGAAGGGCCAGCAAGAAGTGTAGCAAGATCATCTGTCACACATCAAAGTAGTAAAAATCACACAAGGAGCAGAAGTAGCAATAGGTTTGAAGATTCAAGACTAGAGCAAAAAATTGTGATAGTGTATAGGAGCAAATTGTATTAATAACGCATTGAGAATGTTTAGAAAGAGTCAAGAGTAGTAGTAAGTAATATACACACAAGAGAGTTTCTAAAGAAAGAGAGAGCTTCACACAAAATCTATTGATATGGTTGTGTCTTGTATACAAAAGGAGTAGGGGAGAAGATAAACAGTTTCTTTCCACTACATTCCAAATTCTATAGCTATAGTGTTTACTATAGACTATAATAAATATTATAGAGAGTGCCAGCTACATTTAATGCTCTCAATGTATTGAAAGCAAGTTAGAAATCATCATTGCTAAGACTCTACAATTTAGGTTGGTCACTTGTCTTGCCCAATGACAAATAGCCATGTGATCTTACTAATCACATTGTCTCTAGCAATTACCTCTTTTAAATAATAAAAGTCAATAAAAATCAATTAACTATTAGAAATCACATATTATGAATTATGCACCATAGAATAGAATTGGTTCCCAAATTTTAAATTAATTATTAGAAGTTATTAGTTTTTTGGGATTAATTAGCAAAAGGAATTCTTGAAAAAAAAACAAACAAAAAATCCTTTATGTTAGTTTTATGAAAGCAACAATCAGCAATAACTATGGATGCAAAAGACTAGTAAACAGTAGTTCACAATCACTTTAATCCAATAAAGAATGATAAGTTTGTACCTTGATGTTGGCTATTCAAATTCTAGATATAAAAGTTCCTAACCATGCCTTACGAATGCTACCACAGAGGAGAAAATGACACTCCGATGCTTGAAAAACAAGTACAGAAGGAGAGAAGGAAAGGAGGAAGAGAAAACGAAGTGGGGGAAGGGGGGAATGAAATCCTGCTGCATCGGAAATGTTGGTTATTGATATGAAAATATTAAAGAAGAAATAAAATAAAAAATAAAAAAATGGCAGTGATTGGTCAGCTTATCCAATGGCCCATCCTGAGCTAGGATGGATGCTTCCGTGGCTGCGGAGTCGCGTGGCGTGACGCACGCGCTACGACTCGCCACGACTCGCCGTGCCTTGCTAAGCAATTCCTCCCGAGCAGTGCAATCTTTCTCACCCATCCTGGCTCAGCTCATGGTCCCCATCACTCGCCGAGACTCCTGGTGCTTGCTTGTCATGCCTGCTGGTTGACTTGCTTGCGCAGCATGTCGTGGGTGGTCAAACAGGCTGATTGATTGCTGCCAGACGTTGTCGCAACGCTCCCATCTCCTCACCGTAGCTGCATCCACTTGTCGTTGTGGGTGCCTCGGTGACCTGGTACATCCTGTTGGTTTAGCTCTTGACACTGTACACCTGAAGCTTTGGTGGCGGCTGAAGGACCCCGTGGGGCTTACAACGAAGGGGTGGACAATTTGACTCTGTGGAGAGGGAGTGAAGATTGTGGCAAGGGATCGTGCCAGAAAGACCAGGGAATTGTTTTTAATATAGCCCTGTCTCTGGGATGAGTCTATGAAGCAGTGCAGGCAATGCGATCAGGACGTGCCGATTTTTCGCTTTATGAGAGTCAGAGCTCACCACTACACTGTGACCGCGTTTGTGTTTGCAGCAAATTTGTGTCGTTTCTCGACGGGTCAATTGCGCCTCTTGCAGTGATTCCCAGCTTTTTGACTAGTAGTGGCCAGGTTAGTGGCATAACTCTTCTGCTGTGGATTTTCTTCTGATGGCGGACTTCTAAACTGGCCGTGGTTAATTGGCTCTGTGAGTGTTTCTGTTAACGGGGAGCTTTGCAGTGGCTGTAGCATGGTGTGATTGCAATTTGTGGACGTGGAACGGGAAAAAATGAGTGCTTCGCACGAGATTTACACTGATACTGCTTAACGGCCAGTTTGTACATTTGCTCACCCGATATTGGGAACAGGAAGCGTGGCCTCCATAAGGGTGACTACTCTCCAGCTGTTGTATCAACGTCGTCGAAATCTGCATACACCACATGTGCGAGGTCCGAATTTCGATTCGGATGTCACACCTCCAACATGCAAGGCCAGCGTGATTAAGTTCTTTGCGGTCGGCAGCGTGGAGGCTGCAGTGGAAGGTATCTTGTGGTGGATGGAACGGTCCAACGAGAACTGTAATGCACGTCACAGTTCGGAGGTTAAGCAACCCAGTTACGAAGACATCGATCAAACTAGCAGGGAAGAGACTGGGGAGCAACAGGCGAAGGAATGGATCACAAGACATCAGGAAAAGACATCATGTACTGTGCTGGGCAATCCAAGAAATGTCCTCGGGGTCATTGGCGCCCTGAAGAAGACGAGAATCTGAGGAAGCTTGTTTCCAGATTTGGGCCCCAAAACTGGAACCTAATCGCCCAGAAACTCCATGGTCGATCAGGTGAACAGTCTTCAGAAGGATTTGCAGCAATATCTTTCCACTGTCGCTGTGATGTATTTCACCTCCGTGCACAGTTTCTCACATTGTGTGTGCGTGTGTGCGTGCGAGCGAGCGGGTTTCATCAGGGAAGAGCTGTAGATTAAGGTGGTTCAATCAGCTAGACCCACGCATCAACCGTCGCCCCTTCACCGACGACGAGGAGGAGCGCCTTCTCGCCGCGCATCGCTTCCACGGCAACAAATGGGCCATGATTGCGCGTCTCTTCCCGGGCCGCACAGACAACGCAGTCAAGAACCACTGGCATGTGGTCATGGCACGCAAGTTTCGGGAGCACTTGCGTTACTCCGATTTTGAAAGGACTCAAGCGCCGCGACGAGGAATTCGACCCAGGCCGTCTCCATGCTATCATGTGAGCTCCCCGAAGGCGTGGATCGTGAAGAACGCTCGAGGAATCTCCAACGGTGAACTCCAGGACGCTTCTCCAGCCCTGCAATACCTGCACAGGCCCTTAACTCCCAGCCGCAACACCACAAATTTTCCAGTTTCTATTACTTCCTCAGTCCAATCCGTCTTCACATTTCCAGAAACTTCCGGATCAGTCCATGACTTATCCACTAACTCTCACAGTCCCCGAGGTACATGTTTCCAACCCTCAACGCTGTCTAGAACCTCTCATAATGTCATGTCAAGCATCCGCGAGAGATTCGAGACTGTACGTAACGGCCTCACTTGTGCTTACCTGGATTTTGGTGCATAGACTTGGCACAGGCCTCGATGTACGACCTCACAGACACTCACCTCAGCACTGGGTTCAAAGACAAATCAGTGGATCGTGCCCCCGCACAGATCACAAAGTCCTTCTCGGCTCGCGAGGAGCAGGCTGAAGGGCGTCGCACGCGCGTCACCGCGGACCCATGCGGTCATACAGTGGTAAATCCATCCACCAGCATCCATCACCACCGAAGACAAGAATGTAAATCATGCTACCGCCTCAGGACGCGTTCTTCAAGCCGAAAGGGTGCCCCCACTGCCTCATTCATCGATTTCCTGGGCGTTGGGGCGATCTGAGAGACTCTTGAACTCTCGTCATGAGCAACGCCAGGACTTCGACACAAGATCGATGGTTTTCCCTGTTGCATATAGAATCAACAAATCCCAATTTCTTACAGTCCATTCCGCAACCCAGTTTTTTTTTAACTGTGTTGTTGTCTGTCCATCGCCGCCTGTGGAGACGATGCAGAGCTTCGGCGATGGTGTGTCTGGATACGGCGCTGCAGCAGCGTCCATCTCCACAAGATTTGAGTTGGTGACTGTAGTTTTGTAATATTTAATGGACACAAAGCTCTCCAAAGCAGAGTTCAATTGCCAATCCAGAAACTTATTTTTATGATCAAAAAACACTTTCTTTGGATAGTAGTTTCTGGGTAATAGTTTCAACTGTTCATGAATGAATGCATGCAGCAAAAGAATTAGGACTGGTAGAGTGCATTACTAGACACATGCTGTTAAATTTGAGGGTGAGGAACGAATAAACGCTGATTCAGAGAGAGCTTTTACCACCATAAAATGGCAAAGTGGTACTAGAAATGCATGAAAATTTGTACCGAAGATGTTGGTGGTTTGAATCTCAGCTATAAAATCCCACCTTGCTTAATGAAAACTAGCACAGAGTCTTCTTGTCGTTGCAAACTGTAATATAATATTAAGAAAATTACATCAACTTCTACTGAAGTCAAGTCTTGAATGTTGAATTATGTGGTGTATTCTTATGCTTTTCTTGCCTTTTAGAGGAACTAGAAAACAAACTATGGATAATTCATGTTGATCTTAATTATGTTTATGGTTTTTAAATAATCACAAAATATTTTAAATCATTCTTAAAATCGATTTTTTTTTCTAATAAGAATATGAATATTATAAATATTAACAATTTCTACACACTTGCAAAATTTTGAATGGCAACAGAAAGGCAAAAAATTTATGTTACTTCTTTTTAAACATTACTATCATGACAAAAAACTAAAACTTTATTATTTTTCGGGAGAGTATATATAGATAGAATGATGACTTTAGTAAGTTTATTGAAACCAAAGTATAAAATTTACGAATTAATATTTTGATATATGGCAATATATTCAAAAAATTACAATAGTTACAATATGATGTACTATTAACATCATATTATTTAATAGAGATTTACGACATAAAAATAAAATATTACCAATTGTTTGGCACTATCCGTATCACTCTCTCAACCAATTAATCAACTTTTTAGAAATAATTTAACACATGTATTCAATCTTACAAGTTGAAATTTATCTTAAATCCATTTTTTTGTACCATTGAATGATACTTTAAGTTATATTTTTTTTATATGACATTTGGTAAATATAAAAAAGTGTATAATAATATATATTTTTATTGTATAATTCGTCAAATTTAATACAGGATGAAGACTTGACATTATTCAGCTTATCTGGAGAGGTATACTCATTTGTTCTTAGACTGAATTTAAATAAATTTCTAAAAATCACATCAATATTCAATGTGAGTTCAATCAAATGTAATTTTAGTCTCTATTACTCAAACACAGTTTTTAACACACTGAACGATCAACTTGACATTAAAACCAACGCTGCAGACATGAGGAACAAATTTTTGTAATTATGACAGTATGAACTACAACTATAATCTCACAGGCAACACTTTTGAAGATAACTTGAATCAAATATGAAATATAAAAAACGACGAAAATGGAAACGACTATGATTCCTTACGGAATGAATCAACAAAATAGATTGTTGATGATAAGAATAAAAAATCACTTGCTGCTATCGCATAGCACGAATGCAGAGCTCTGAATAGCTAAGTTTCAACCCAGATACTTGCACTCTTTCCCAAAGCCTAAGCAGTAATAGAAATTCTAACTGAGGAGCAGGCAGAAGAGGGCAGAAGATGGCAAGAAAAAACATGAGGATTTCCTCTGTAAATCTAAGTATAAAAAACTATCAGTCATACTAATGAAAAACAAATCTCTTTCACTGCACTTTAGAGGGGAATTCAAGGTTCGTTCAGAACGAAAGACGCCACGGAATAAGAAGCAAATAACATGCCATGGAGGCTATACAGAGCATGTCATCCTATAACAGGGCAGGTCATCGACACAAATAAAAGAGAATAAAAAATGGGCATGTCTAGAAGATCTAGATTTCATAGGCATCAGTACATGCAAAATTGAACAAGTTAAAAAAATTATAAAAGTATAAATAAAAAATACCCTACACAAGCTCAATGAATGCCATCGGTGCATTGTCACCCTTTCGTGGCATTGTCCGAATGATCCGTGTGTATCCACCGTTTCTCTCACCATATCTTTCAGGCACTTCAGCGAATAGTGAGTGCACTAACTGCTTATCGTAAAGAAAGCCTAGGGCTTGCCTTCTCTGGTGAAGAGAACCTCCCTTCGCAAGAGTGATCATGTGGTCGACGTACTTGCGCATGGCAGTGGCGCGAGCGCGAGTAGTTTTGATCCTACCGTGACGGAGAATTTCGGTGGTTAGACCTCTGAGAAGAGCGCGTCGCTGGTCAGCAGGCCTGCCGAGGCGGTGAATTTTGCGGCCGTGTCTCATCGCAAACCACTTGGCACCATTGCTGATTCCTAAACCCATTACACCCAAATTGACGTCTGCGGAAGAATAGTAGCACGGGATTAGACCTAGTTCCCTACGCGTGTTTCACCAGTGCACTGAAACGATACATTGCTAGGAGCGGTGTCCATCAAGTCGAAGTGATAAATGCAACACCAACGCACATGTTATCCACAAAGTGTGTAACGTATCAAACATGTACATAGGTTGGAGTACCACATTCACGACAGGCATGGTATAACGGAGCTCAAAATATACTCGTATGACTGAAATTGAGTCGATTTCAGTCAAGCTCTCAAGTATCATCACTACGCACATTGAACCCTCTCTGTGCGCATTCCGGAAACTAATTCGCTTCCTAATTAAAAGATGCAATGAACTCAAACTCCAAGTCGACTTCCTTAATCCAAACTCTCGTCTCCAACCAAAAACCGCAATCAGACCAGGGGTATTACACGGTATGTCAAAAACCATAAGAGATTGATCCATCAACACCCCAAGCAATCACAGAAACACCACTCGATATAAACAATCAACAAAACCAGTGCATCAACCCCACGGATTCGCCCGAGCGGCTCACCCTACAGGCCTGGAACTCACCAGCACGCAGCTGCAACGCATTTTGGTTCCTGAGCCCATCAAAGGGCTGGAATCCAACACACTTCGTCGCGGTCATTGGCTTCAGCGATACGGAAGCGCTTCGCCTCAGGTCCACTCCAGAGGCCGCGCGTGAACAGACGCGTGTGCTTCTGGTCTTGGAGGAGGGGACAGAGGGCAGGGCGGCGTTCAACGCCGCCATAGAGAAGGCGGTGGTCGCATCCATGGCCAAAGCGATGCAAGGAGATGGCGAGTTCAAAGGAATCGATGCTACAGCGGGGCAGCAACGGAGACAAGCCCGTCTACGCTTCAGCGTACTGTGGATATAGAGCGGGGCTCGTAGGACCGCAAAGACGACGCGGTCTTACGCGTCATCGTGGGTGGATAGGGCTCCACTCTGCGAAGGGCAGGGTCTCCTATTACCGTTGAAATCCGATGTTCGTGGCCGTGGGGTGGTTCTCCATCCCGCCCTTCCCCTGAATGGAGTTACGTGGCATGACATCTCATCGCCTTCTGTGCCTACGTGGAGGAAGATACCCTCTAACTTTTGTGTATAGTTGGCGCTTGTTTAATTGCTAGACCATTTGGAGTACGAGCCAACTGATCACATTTTCTTAATGTTGATGAAAGTTTAAATTGATATGATAATTGTGATATTATTGTTAGTTGTAGCAAGTATTGATTTTTGTGGGGTCTATGGTGGACTTGTTATCATTTACATGAATTAATTCCAATTGTTACCTATGATCATTTTAAAGAATTATGGGATGTTATTTTTAGTAGACTTATGTTATTCACATACTGCCAGATTGTAAACTAGCTGGATATTTTTATTGCTTCTGTTTGCTACATACAATTTAGATGAAGCAATGATCTTGCTCATAAACTAGCAATGTATTAAGGTAAATTTTTATTAATATATTTAAAACTTATATGAACATATTTTATAGTAAATTTATTTGTATTTATACATATATTAATAATATGAATCAAATTAACAATAAATTTTAGTAGAAGAAAAATAATATCTTAACAAAATACAACTAAATTTCACATATTAAACTTATAGAAATATTTTATATTTTTCTTTTTTCTTTTCTTAAAAAATAAATCTTTGTCATAATATTTACACCATAAATTAAAGAACTATCAAAGAGACTTCTGTTGTTTTGTAATTTTTCAAAAATACACACATATGTTTGTGGTTGTAAAACATATATACAAAGTACCTATTAACTTATTCATTTACACAAACATCCTTTGTATTCAATTTTTACAAACATCATAATAAACTTATGATAAGATTGAAAAAAACAATATAGTACAAAAAACCACATTGATATCAACTTTGACATGTCTAATCCAAATCATCTAAGTATAAGAATGTAATACAGAGGAATGTATATATTTTAATATGAAAAAAAAATCAGAAAAATAAAAAAAAAATGTTACTGCTAGTCTTGCTATATTTTAATTCAATCTATAAATTTTTATTACAACACAAAAAAAAATTAGATGTGATAATGAATGATATACTTGAAAGAAAAGATGTATATGTAAAAATAATATGATGGCATTATTTACTTGCTAGATTGATAATTTAAACCTACAAGCAATGTGTAAAATGAAACATAAAGAGCTTAGGAACCTTAAAATGTAATTGCAGCATGCTTCAATAGACTGATTACATCCCACGACCTGAGAGCTGCATGCTTTGTTCCTCAGCCACCTCAGCAGCATAGGCAAGGAACTACATCTTGTTCTTGTTCTGTTGAGGTAGTCCAAGTTAACTAGTGCCCCATGTTGAGTGACAAGCTAGCCAAAGCTGTTCCACATCCTACCAGGGTACACCCACAACTTCCATTCATTTCCATCTCAGCAATTTTAAGCACTGTTTAATTCTCTTTTTAAAGTCCTTTTCATCTTTCTCTCAAAGTACTTGATCACTATTGGTATCTTACAAATATTAACCTTAAAAGAGAATTTATCTCCCACTTAAGACTGCATTTTCAAATAACTTCACTCATAGATTGCACCTTGTGGAGCATCAAAAACCAGCCTTGATGAGGTTGTCACCCTCTTGGACATCCTATTCTAAGGAACTTGGGACTAGCACATTGTAGGAGGCACTTCTTTAGACTATAATTTGAGGCGTGAAGCACCTCAATTTTCAAGTTGGACTCTTTCCAATTCCCTTGCCATTACTAAAGAAATCTTGGTTAGTTTCTTATCATTTGCTTAGCAATATGTTTAAACTCATCAGATAGTCTTTTTTAATCAAAGATATGTTGCACGTCATTTTTTTTTTCCTCTTTTAGTGTTTTCAAATAAGAGAAGGAAGGATCTCCTATGGGATCCAAATCTGAGAGATACAAATCACACACTCAACATAATTCTAAGGCAAGCTTGGATCACTTGATTTCGGATCGTGTCACCATGCTATTCAGATTTTTTTTCTTATATTTTAGCCAATCTAATCTTATAAAATAAATTTAGTTGGCTAATTTCACTCAACTCTTCTTAAAATTAAAAGGAGTTGGTGGGTGTTGCAATGACATTATTGCAAAAATGTCCTTTGACAAGCCTTACGCACAATTTACATTCAAAAACTTGATCATTCACAAAATTCTACAATTCACACTACACATTATATTTTGATGAATTCTTCACTACTACAAGAATTAAGATATTTATTGTTGAAAGATTTATTTTATTATTCATAAAATTTCAACTCATAAAACTTCTTCTCCAAAACAAAGAAGAAGCTTCATAGGATCTCAACACAAATTCACTTAAAGAAATGTAAAAATCATTGTTCAATGTATTTTGCGTTTGAACTTATAAGTGTCTTACGCATTTTTACAAAAAAGCTACAAAATAAGTTCAACCACTAAATAAAGTAGTTTTTATAAATAAAATATTCTCAAAAATTTTGTTTTTAATAATTTTCCTTCAACCATATTTGATAAATCTTTTCATGCAAATATTAAATATTTTATTTTTAAAAATCTCTTAAGAATTACTATTAAATCCACCACTCACTTATAATAAAGTACTAAAGGGTATGTTGGGTGCAATCCATTTTAATGCCAAATGTTAGAATAATGTTGATAAATTTCACATTATTCGGCCACATCTTTGTACTTGCCTTTCTACAAATACCTTTCTTTCAATTTAGTTAAAGTTGTCCAAATTCTTTTATGTTTTATCCACAAATTTTTATGAAATTCCTTAAGAATCATTTTTTGAGTTTATAAGTCATATATAATCCATTGTGGTAATTCTCTTCTCTTCTTTGGATGTTCCATAAATATCCATTATGTAAAAAAAATATTTATAGGCTTTCTTATAATTTTATTTAAATTCTTGTTTTATTCAATCTTCTTGTTGCATTAATATAGTTAGATACTTCCCAAAATTTCTCCATTCACCTTCATATAAATCTCTTAAAAGTAATTCTAGTGATGTATTTAAACATACACCTTCTTCTTTTGATAATATATCAATATAAAAATTTGCACTTACATCATCTTTCAAATCAATCATATCTTTTTCATCATGACAACTAAATTATATTTTTTATAATGTACTTAAATTTTGGATTCATAAATTTGATATATGCTATTTAATTTAATATAGAAACATCTAAAATTAAATAATTTATAATCATGCTTAATAAATATAAATATTTTTTTTCTATAACTGCTAATGTACCAACCAATTATTTTTTTTTATATCGACATTTTCAAATCTTTATTGATAAATATAAGAACTTTCGTGCATGTTGCAAAAAAAAATATCAAATTTGTTTATTTATGCTATTGGCATTGCAAATGGTAGAAAGAATTTAAGTAATATTCTAAATAAGTATCTAAATTATAAAGACATTTTTGAAAAGAATAATGGAGATTTTTTTTGTAAGCATTGTCCCTATGATTTTTTAATTGATCTTTAAGAAAGAGCTTAACCACTATTTAGACTAATCTACAGCTTATTATAAAATAAATTGGATACATTCAAGGACAATATTGACAAGAATTTGGTTAAAAACTTCATATGTTATTCAAAATCTCTAATAAAGGCTTCTAACTTATTTTTCAAGAAAAAGAATGGATCATTAGGGATATGTGTAGATTACTATTGACTTAACAAGATCACCATAAAAAATAGGTATTATCTATTCTTGATTTCAAGACTTATTAATCAATTGAATTAAGTCAAGTTCTATACAAAAATAGATCTATGAAGAGCATATAACTTAATATGCATTAAAAAAAATAAATATAAGATTGCATATTAAACCAAGTATAAATATTTTTAATATAATGTTATGGCTTTTGAATTCACAAATATACCAATTACTTTTCAATATTTTATGAATAATGAAATTTTAAAATTTTAAAATTATTTTATTATTTATTATTTTAAAAATAACATAATATACTCTAAAAATATAAATAAAGATAAAATTTATATTTATTACATATTATACAAACTTAAAGATTGAAGATTATTTTTTAAGATAAAAAAGTATATTTTATACAACTTAATTTTAATTTTTAAAATAAATCATTTGAAATGATGGTCTTATGATAGATCCCAATAATTTTCAAACTATTATGGATTGAAAGATTTCGAAAACAATAAGAAATTTTTGATCTTTTTTAGATTTTTTTAATTATTATTGAATTTTTATCAAGAATTTTTTTAAGTAATAGTTTCACTTATATATTTGACTTGTAGAAAAAAAATTGAATAGAATAAAAAAATAAAAGTAGTATTTGAAGCCTTGAAGTTAGATTTTATTTTTACACCAAATTTGTATGGTGTCAACTCCCACAAGATATTTTTTATAGAAACAAACAAATTCGACTTTATTTTGAGTGCAAAATTATCACGAATAAAGGTAGATGATAAATTTTATTTAATAGATTTTTATTTGAATTTTTTTTCAATAGCCAAGATTAATTATAAGATATACAAAAAAGAACTTTTTATAATATTAGATTCATTTTAAGAATGACATAATTATTTAGAAGGCACTTCAAGTCCAATCACCATGAATATAAATCATAAGAATCTTGAATATTTTATATCAATGTGTGTTCTAAATTTTTGCCAAGTCTCTTGTGACATATCTTTGTTAAGATTTGAATTCAAGATTACTCATTGATTATAATAATAAGAAGGTTTGTTAGACATTATTTCTAGATATTTTTATTGTGTACCAAAAGAAATAGATGTAACTTTTAATTAAGAACAAACAATTCTTTTGAAGGTAGAAAAATTTTATTTTAAAATATTAAAATCAATATT